TGCTACAATGAAAATTCGATATGATTTCTTTTTTCCACGTACAACGTACCTCGTATTGCTTTGCGTTGCTAATTTCTCAATGATTTTAGCGTCTACATTAATCTTTTTCGGTCTTTGCATATGACTTTTCAATTTGTCTATGTTTTGCGTAAGTTGATGGACCTGCACTTTCAATGTTGTGTTTTCATATGTTAATCTGTTATTCCTTTGTACAACCTAACGATTCATACGATATGTACAGTCTAATTTAAGAGATTTAGACAAAAAAAAAAAAAAGAAAAACAAATATATTATCATTTACTTGTAAGAATTTAGCTTTATTAAGAGGCAACGGTTCTTGAAATTTCTCTGACACAATTAAATTAAGTTCCTTCCTCGCTTCGTCTAATTTCTCCATCATCTCCGCCATTACTAGCAAATGCTCATGCAACAACTGGTCCAATTTATATCGTAATGTGTCTTTAGCATGTTTCATACGAAGGAACTTCACACATAGATTATAAGTAACTTTGTTTTTATCTAACAATTCTGATTTCAGTTGCTTATTTTCTTGTTCTAAGGAATCTTGCACTTCTTCGAGCTCCTTACGCCATTGTTGTTGAAACTTCGACACATTGCCTATATATCTACCTCTGTATCGTTGCATTTCTTCAACGAAATAGTCTTTTTCTCTTTGATAGAAAATTCTCTCGCTATCTAACTGTTCTACAATAAAAATAATTAATATACCGGATATTCCTGAATTATAAACCGCCAAACTTAAAATATGAATTTAAGATTTCAAAAACAAAGTTTTTCTCTGGAAGTTTGTTGATAAACGCTTTGTTTTTTAAAAGAGATATTGACTTACATAACTACAGGAAAATTTTGTTTGTTTTAACCCAGGCTACAAGTCATGACTCAAAATGATATTAAAATGAAATGATTGAAAAATGACTTTTAATGATCATTTGGAAGTCATTTTGACATTATTTTGATATCATAATGAATTATGATATCAAATGATATTATGTCGTTTTGCTTGAGGAGGTCCTAAATTCATATTTTAAGTTTGATGGTTCAATCCGAGAAACACTATAGGTGCGTTCGAGGAGTCATTTGTATCATTCTATCCTTGTTTATGTCTAATATAAAAGATGAAGATAGAATGACACAAATAGCACTAATAACGTCTTCCCGAACACACTTCGTGAGGTGCATTCAAGAATTACGTCTAGATAATTTTGGTGTGTACTTTAGCGTAATGTAAAGCCTGTTCTTTTTGACTGAACTTTTATACTAGTTTATTTTTCTTCCTCTTTTTTCTTCCTGGAGAGAAAAGGAAGAAAGATGAACTGGTATTTGTAACGTAAACTAGAATCTAGAGTTATATCTGAATGCAATTCCTGAACGTACCTCTGTGTACTGTTTCATTCATATTTGTTGAATTAGTTCAAACTAAAAACTGTAAAGCTGTATTGATAAAATTCTAATTTTATGGAATAAATTTAGATAGATATAAAACAGTATATAGTACGCAAAATATTGCATTTATATTATAATTCAATCAGAAATTACAGTCATACCTTTAGATTTAATATATGTATACTGTCTAAAAAAAAATCATAATGATTAAATCTTACGTTTCAGATTCCTGTTGCATCTTTGTTGTTTCTTTAGTTCTGCTAGTAACCTACTTTTTTCACGATGTGAATTTTCTAATTGTACATCTTTTATCTGTATAGAATCTGTTAAATTTGCTATAATTTCATTCAATTTCGTTACCTATTAAATATATATATATATAAATCAGTTATTGATTTCAAAATTATAAATAGTAACAATTTATAAGAATTCAAATAATGAAATTGTAAACAGGCAAAGTCACACTTATTGTTCGTGCTGTACAATATTTTATATGTTAGTAGACTAATAATTGAACAAACATACATACAAACATTCGATCTTTTCACATCAGTCCTCTTCAATGTAATAAAAATTAATGCAACTATTTTACATTTCAAACTTTTCACAAGAACGAGATCATATCAAGAAAAATAGTTGGGTTTATTTTTATTACACTGAAGAGGACCTGATGTGAAAAGGTCGAAACGTCTATATGTATATTTGCTGAATTGTTAGTTTACTATAAACATATAAATATTATACAGCATGAACAACAAACTCTTTCGCCTTTTTACAATTTATTCGAATTTTATTCGTTGGAGTCTATTACATTGTGTTTAATTTTAAACTTAATTTAAGAAATTTAGCAATAATAAATATTTAAAATACAAAATGATTTTCTAATCAATTATTCATTTGTACAGGACATCTCATATTATACACAGAAATTTGATTCTCTTACAATTCATAATAATTAGTTAATAATTAAGCGAAATATAACATACCTGTGGTGAGGTTACTATTTCATGATCAACTATGTCGGATTCCGCATTGCCATAGGAAACTTTGTTTTCTACATTAGTAGAACATTTACTTAAGTTAACATTCTGCATATCACAATTTTTAACTTCAAAAGCCAATCTCTCTCCGTAATCTCTTTAGATATATTCAATAATTTTCTATTTGTTATATTATTTCATTGGTTATATCATATCGCACACTTCGTATTTAATTTTAATAATCAAGTTTCAAAGTTACGACATTCGAATTTTTGGAATTGCCTCTATATGTACATACAATAAACTTGTATTTAAAACTTCTTAGAGTGTCTAAAAAGTTATGATGTTCTTTCTTTATGCGTAAGACAAAGTAAAAGGAAACATGACATGTTATATATTATACATAAATAACCTACATAAAAGTTACTTGTCAAATACATAATCATTGAATAAAGACGTTTTTTTTTATTCAATTGATCAATCGCAATTTATGCGCAATTGCAATTGCTGCATTTACGCATTTAATGCGATTGATCGATAGATTATAAAACTCACTTTAAATAAAAAAACATTAAAAATATCAAATATAATTACAAATATCGTATATTTATGTACTTATTTCAAACAATAAAATGAAGACATGTTTCCCAAAAGAGATTAAAAATTATTCTTTGTTACAGTATGGCAGGTTACTCTCAAATAAATATTTACCCAAGCAATACGGATTTTAAAAGTTGTGAAATTTTTTATTGTATATCGTATATGTACAAAATAGGTGTACAGACTACGTATCAATCGCACGTACGTTTTTTATACATGCCATCACATATGCTTCAATAGCACATGACACTGATGTAAGAGCATTTATATACCCAGTACACCTGTAACTCCCATTTCTATTATCTTTCATCAAATGGAATGAATGTTGAGATGACGTGTATATTTTCTTTCTTTAATATTGATATCTTTAGAGACGTAAGTAAAATTTTTGAGTAACTAATAATCCTCTCCCCATCTTGTACACACGAAAATAATAAATTATATTGAAGCTTTAGCCTTGCCATTCTTTACATGAGAATTATTTTCAAAAATCGGTTTAAACAGATAGAATATATTTTCGCATCTTTGAAAGAATTGTGTCAATATGAACACGATATCGGAAAAAACAAAAAATACAAAATCTCATTGTGGATCCCCATTCGTGCTTTCCATAAATTTTACAATAACAACTGGGCCAGAAATCATTTAATACACTATTTTATCATACCAAAACTATATATTTAACATGAATTTCAATAAGTCGTCTAGTAAAAAAGGAAAAAACATAATATTTGTTATCAAGATATTCTCTTTCTTCAATGACAAAGTATCATCAAAAGAAAAAAATATTCAATTTTGTCTCAAATTATATACTCCAATACGATAAGAATATACATATATCATTTTTTTGAAGATAGAGAAATTACATTTATAAAAATCTTGCCATAAACATATTTTTTGTTACAAATGTTAAATCCTATGTTACTAAATATACATTATCCTGTAAAAATATTCAAGAGCACACATACAAGTATGCTATACAAATATCTATATAATTGAGGTAATTGTAATAAACTTCACTTTGGATAGACGCATAAAAAGATTAGTTAAAGCACAAAAATATTTTTTAAGCAAATTTTTTCATACGCAAATTAACAAAATCGTCCGAAATTATTTCAAAATTACACATAATATAATTGTCTTACTTTGTTGGTCCAGTTGTGTTTTAAAAAGGTGGAAGGCAATCGTTTTGTCGTGTGATAATCTGATGAAATGATACTAGAGTCGCACAAATGCGGATGATAGTGATGGACTTATGTGTATATCTTAACTTAAGAGTTTGTTTTATTTTCATAATGTTAAGGCTCATGTTTATTTTTTCTTGTTCTTGTTAGCCTGATTTTTGTATTTAGCTGCAGCTGCTAATTTAGCATTCTTCTTCTTAGGTTCATCATCTTCATCGTCTTCATCTTCAGGATCCTACAAGAAATATAAAATGTAGTCATATGCAATTTATTTATTTTAAGCAAGATAATTGATAATATTTCCATATTTTTAATAATAATTAAACATAATATATTATATTACGTAAGGAAGTAAATGAGAATATATATTTATATATAAAATTCATTTACATCTATCAGTTTAAAGAAAATTTTAAGAAAATATGAAATTTTATTACGTTTTATAATCAAATTAAAATTTCAAAATCGCAATATGTTAGTCTAACTTTGACTTTTAAAGATATTTTATTTAATTACTTTATTTATTTTATTTATCGATATAAATATTAATAAATATTATTTAATCTTTTAGAATCCAATAAAAAATTATAATACGTTACTTTGCAAAAATGGAAAAAAAGGAAGCGTGATTAGTAAGAAATAAAAGCAACTCTTTGCAAAATAAGATTTATTTTACAAAAATAAAACATGAAACATGAATGAGAATACAAGGGATACATTTATGATTTTTTTATAAGTGGTTCACGTCCATCTTTTCCTGTCCTTAAAAATTATAATTCCTCAAACGTATTTTAAAAGATAAAGTTTGAAGTAAAATAAAAAATATTCTTAATGCAATATTGATATTTTTTAGACATACTATGGCGCAATGTCGATTTTTATCTTAATATTCTATTTGTCTATGTTCACGACCGTACTCATTCAACGCCGTTTTTTTTATCTCCTGATAAAAGTTTTCGTTTCTTTCGCGGTGCCTGAAATGGATATTTATTAAATATAATTTCATATGTTCTACAGCAACATAGAAAGTAAAGATAAACTAAAGATACTATCATGAGGTGCAAATTCTCCTATAGTAAATTATTTATATGTATACAACTTATAATATAAATTATATCATAACATTTTTGTGGACGTATTCTGCATTCAAAAATTTATCATATTTTTATAGAGAACCATAAGGGATGTATCTTCGTGTGACGGACTCATAACCGACAGATCGCGACTTCAAATCCCGCATCCCATATATACGGAAAAATTCGTAATCTGTACTGACATAGGAAGTCGCAGAGGAAATTTTCAGATCTATGTGACTCTTTGGTCATATTTATATTTGATTCTTATATTTAAGATTGTCTTAAGGTCTTAAAATGTCATGAATTAATCAGAAGCCAATATTCATTCTTATTGTCAATTCTTCAGTAATCAATTCTTATTAAAGACTGCCTTATTTAAGTTTTATTAAGTCTTATTTAAGTCATATTTAAGTCTTATTTAAAACTGCTTAAGTACAGTCTTAAGATGTCATGAATCAATCAGAGAGCCGTATTTGTATTTTAAGACATTACTTAAGATGAGCTTGAAATAAGAACGGACTATGATTACCTCCTTTTGAACAGGTTCAAACATTCAGGAGAATTGATATGGTTTTGTCACCCATCTACTACTGCTACTGCTACTACTACTACTACTACTACTATTACTACTATTACTACTACTACTATTATAGAGAAGCATTCTACATGCATAAATTGATATTAATAAATTAAATACAGCATTATCCTCTTTTATCCTCACTCATAAGATTTATAGCAAAAATTTACTAAATTTATTATTATTATAATAAAATTTGCTAGATATAGATAGAATATATATTTTCAACTATATATATATATGTATATAGTTAAAAATATACATATAATAATTCATACCTTTTCATCATCCTCATCATCAAGTTCTTCCTCCACTTCATCATCCATATCCACAAATTCTTCAATGTGGCCACCTATGATAAGAAAAAAAATTTAAGTATTTCTTAATTTTTAATAAAAAAAAATAAATATTTGAATAAGTTTATAAAATGCCATGTATAAAACAATGCTATGTTATAAATAAATAACGAATTAAAATAAAACAAATAATAAATATTTTATTATGTAGTATTTATTGCAAGTTGTGTATTTTTTATCATATTTTTCATAATATTAGGTGTTGGAATTAATTCGTAGCGTTTTTAATGAAAGAATGTTATTTATTTCACATGAGCATTAAAAAATACATTAATGAAAGTACTTCCCATCACTTGTAAAACGCTACGAATTAATTCCAACACCTAATATATAAAAAAGTTATATTATAATTCTTAAAGAGTAAAATCGTGTAACGTATTAAATGAATTGAAGTATTACTTCATAATTAAATATAGGTTGATATTTTACATACATTCATAGATATATGTATATATAGTTTATAAATTTATTTTATATTTTAAAATGTTTATGTTTTTTATAATTCAAAAAGGATTAGCATATATCACATATACATATTCAAGAGCAAAAGCAGATAAAAAATACATAATACTAAACATATACTATATATGTATACTTTTTTTAACCCCCCCCTCCTGCCCCATAGAACAGAATCTATTTTTATTAAAATTATTTTTTTTTAAAAAGAATTATGTTTTTTAAGAAGACATCCGATTTTAAACTTTATCGCCTTTGCTTGGCATACCTTGATAAACTTTTATAAATATTACAAAATAAAAAAAATATCAACATTTTATTAATAATTTAAGAAATAGTCACTGAAGTTTAGTAATAAAGTCTATTTTTAAGTTTGTTAGAAAATGTCTATGTGATGTACATAATATTTTATTATACAAGCATTTAAGATTGTTTAAGGCATTGATTTTTATAGTTTGTGATAATATTTTATATTGAATTGTATACAATATAAGTAGTATATACAATATTTAATTTGAAACAATACACAGGGATATTGAATATAACTCGAAGTATTAGAACAGTCGCTTGTCAAGAAAAACATCAGACTTCAATTCTCATTCTGCATGACAATAAGAATTTGTAATAGAAAAGTATCTCACTATAAAAAAGAAATATAGTATCTAAAACATGAACTTAATCCCAAGATAATAAAACAAACACAATTTTTCAGATGTTACTTATAAATTTACTAAATAAAATTACGTAGTTTTTAATATAGAGATACATACCAAGAAGATTGTGTCCTACTATATGAACAGGTCCACTGCCCTTAACCAACGTGAACGTGACTGGAGGATCTGGGAAACTGAGATCAAGAATAATCTGCGCCGTTTTTCCCATCTCCAACAAGGCAATTGGAGTTTTTATGGGTCCTTTTAATCCCATTGCTTCAACTTGCAAGACATTAAGCTCTCCAGGTTTAGCCTCCGGTCCTAGAAGAGCCTAAAAAGTTTACGATAAACATTATACAAGAAATTATTTATATAAATGTAGAATAATAAAATATAATATTGGATGCTAATAAAAATTATTTTGGTTATTAATTCTTATAAATCTAAGATTTTATACAAAATTCAAACTTAACGTTATAACAATACAGTTAATAATTATATTATTCTTATAAACAAAGGACGAGGAAAGTTATATATTTAAATTTCTCATAATTGTATTATTTTTAGATATGTTCTTTATTCCTGCACTATCTGAACTGGTGTACACAGTGCAATAAGTTGAAGTGAAACAAATATAAGTTTGTTTCGCTTTAACTTATTGCACTGTCTGAGCCAGTTTAGACAGTATAGGAATAAAGAACAGACCCATTAAATGTATTTTATCTCAAATATTTTTATCACGTATGTCATACGTTTATAGTTTGATCAATTTCTATCTTTTTAGGTTAGAAAACAGCTTGCCCCGAAAAACAATTATACATAAATATTATTATGTTGTATAAAAAAAAGAATAAACAGAAGAGATAAAAAAATGTTCTTGTAACATTCAAATTCAATGAGAAGCACAAAGCGCACACATATAACAGAGGAAACGATTAAGGTAATGTAATAAAAAATTATATTTGTCATTATAAACTTTTAAAAAATTAAAAAATAATGTTACGATAAAACGTGATGTACTACATATAATTTTTATAAAACTACTCGCGATGAGGATGCTCGTTAATATCTACTTCGTTATACTTTGGTGCCGCAATATTTCGATAACCGGTATACTATCAAGTTCTATTTAATTCGCATATTATGATCTACATCCAAAAATTTCGATTCCTCGTTCAATCGAATCAAATCAAATTTAACCGCAAATTAAATTTCCGTTAAAATCTTTATTTCCCGACATATAATAGAGCCCTGTTTTATCTAACATAAAGTGGGGGGGAAGGGCGAAGCCGTTGTGAAAAAATGGCGCCAAGCATCAAACTTCCCGGTATCTATTCTTCCAGAGACGAGTTGGGCAATTATAACGGGAAAACTAATCAATCATGGTCACAACGTCACGAGCGCGATTTTGTAAAAAGGTGCCTCTTATCTGCTTCAAAGGACTCGTGACAATCGTTGAATAATTCAGGCATAGAGGAACGTTTGCGATCCTAGGAAAAGCAAAAAATTCGAGCAATGTGGTCGACTGTCATCCAGGTTATCTCTCACGATTGAAGAATTGAACGAGACCACTAGAAATTGGCGATTGAGTTTCGCGCGCGAAACGGTAATTGGCGACGGTGACAAGGAGTGCTACAAAGAAAAAAAATCTAGGTGTTCCTAAATGATGCTAGTTGAACAACGATTGAAAATGCGGTATATGGAAACACGCGGCATGATAGAAAAAACGGTAACCGACGAGTGCGATGGAAACTGTACGCCCCACCATGAAGGAAGGCGCCCGAAAGATGCTAGCTCGTGGAGATGACGACAATGTTACGATAGCGTGGTGGCTCTCCTAGCCACAGCGGAGAACCGTAGACGGAGAAAAGTTCATTAGACACGGAGCGACGGCGACGTCTCTGTTGTCATTCCGTCGATTACTGGAACGTGGCACACTCACCATTTTTATAATGAGCTTCTGATCAGCGCCGATGTCTTGGGCCGCGCCGTCCGAGTCATCGTTCTTGTGCTCCGGGTCCCATACCTCGCTTGCATTCGGTCCCTCTAGGGTGATTCCTGAACACAGAAGACACTAAGTCGTATTCGTGGCGAGAGAGCGGCACCGGTCGGTGACCGAGCACGCTGGCTCCGGAGATTGCAACGGGAGTCGAGAGTCTGCCGTATCGCAATGGCCGAAAGCCCAGCCGGCGTCTCCGGCCAGTGCATCCCCTTCGCGCTTAAATGGCCGACGGTACGTAAGTATCCGCGTGCGTCGCGAAATAGCAAAGCCACAGCGAACATGGCATCGTGGCCGTTCATATTTACCGTATAGATATTCCTCTGCCATGGCGATCGGTCTGCTATTAACGGATTCTCGTGACGCGTGGATGTACCCGTGAGGACGGTGCAGTGGACGTGTGCGTGCCGTGCGCGGTGATGGAGTAGAGCCGAGAGCGTGAGAGGCGTGAAAGCGAAACGCCGCGCGCGCAACGGTTACTGTGTTACTGCGCGAGGGAAGTAGGGTCTGGATGGTAGGGAACGATCGCCGCCGCCGCCGCCGCCACCGCCGCCGCACGTGCCGGTCATCGTACGAGCGCGTAGTAAAATGAGTTTCGCTTAGCTGGCCTTGCGCGCCAGGACTACGTTCCGTGCGTTGATTGGTCGGTTGTCGGGCGCCGTCCAGCGTTGCCGTTGCGATCCGTACCGTTCGCCGCTCGCGCTCGTTGCCAAACGGCCCTAAAGCGTTTTACTCTCAATTCTCGAATGTTTCTAAATTCTTTTAAAGTTTCAAGCCTTACTTTTGATAAGTATCGCATACGAAAGTACTAGAGAAATCTATATACTATGATATTTTTGTACATTTATTTTTCCTGTGCGATATTTTCAATAATATGACTCTTAAGGTATATCTTCGGATAAATTATATGTGATAATTTATCTAATTAATAGATAAACGTAAGAATAAAAGAATAAGAACAAAGAGAGTAAGAGAGTGAGTTCAAGTTTATTGAATGGTAGAACAACCTAACTTTATAAGTATAGCGATCATGTAATCTTTTTCCTAAAATGAAGTGTGAAAAATGAAAATTTTTATCATAGAAGATAGTAATGAAAAAATTTTCCATTTTTCATGTTTTTCTATTGCCTGTGTGTTTCAGGCTTAAATTTATAAAAGAGTTTCTAAAAAATTTTGGCAAAATTTATGTGAATCTAAAAAATTAAAAGAAAAAAATTTTTTCCTTTTTTCTTTTTGTAAATCGATTAATTTCGAAATAAAAAATATTTTTTTACAAAAATGAGTTTTTATAAAATTACAAACAAAATTCGATGTTATTATGAAAAATCATCTCGTACCAATTAAAAGAAATTATTTTAAAATTAAAAAATCTAATTTTTAAATATTTTTTCGTTAATTTTTTCCCATAATATTTTATCAAGCTACAACGCTTCAAAATAAAACAAAAATATTGAAAAAATATTAGTTTTTATGTAATTTAAGAACAAAATATTGTACAAATAAAACTTAAAGATAACTTAATAGCTTAATCTTTTTAAAATGCATTTTTGAAAGTTTCTCTACGGTTTCGTTTTCTGATATACGAAAAAATCGTTTTGAATTTATGGACGGTAATGCATATCGATGTATTATTCGAAGTACAAAATACTTAACTTTACATTGTTCAATTAGATTGAAAGATTAATTAATATCAAGTATTAAGCAAATTATGGCAATTACATGTGTATATAACATCGCGTGGTGTAGAATTCTTCTCAAAGAAAACATTGATTTTCACATGAAATTCGATCTAAAGAATTTGCAGTTGTTACGCAAATTTATATAAGCGTTATATCATAACGCTATAATACTCTTTAGCGAATTGATTCTACTATTGCGTAATAATTTCACACGGATATAAATAAGTAAAGTCGGTTCATTCTTTAAGTAATGATCAACAGTTGAAAATTATAAGTCTGTTTACAATTTAATTAAAGTACTATTATGTATTAGGTCATCTAAAAAGTATCCGCGGTTTTTTGTCACTAGATGTGTGTTGATGATCATATCTGACCCAATATTATGTATTAGAGACTTTTTTTACAAATTAAAGAATGGCTGCGCTCAACAGAATACAACAGTTTTATAATCGTTTTATGATTGTCTGCTGAGATAGGATCATTCCTCTAGAGTAAAAAATACAATTTAATCAAAAGCGAAGAAAACTTCCAACAGTTGTAAATAAATATTTTGCTAAACACAGCCATTAGAATTCGATAATTTTATAATTTTAATCCACATCATTCTGATTGGATTTTAATTTTCAATTTGTAATCCTCAATCTCCAATGTAGTGAATTATGCCGAGTTCAATATATATACTATTACTGAAAAGTTGGTGCCAATCTTGAAAAAAAAATTACTAAAAGTCACTTTTCAATTAGTAATGTCATTTTGATGTTATTTTGATTTGTTTTGCTTCAATTTGTACTTTAAACAAAATATCAAATATAATGAAAAAAATTAGTTTTATTCATAAAGTCTATAAAAAATGTATATGTTGAAATAAGTATCTATATATGTTTGATACTTGACAAAAGGAGAAGGAAAATTTTAGTGCAGCCCACTGTAGCGATGAAAAAAGAATAAACCTTTTTTTTTTTACAATAAAATATTACTCGATTTTTCAAAATGCACGAGAAGATTCGAATGCGACGGATGCGGCAACGTCGCGTCTTTTCATTGGCTGTCGGTCGGCTCTGGTGGCGACCGCGTGCAACTACCGTCGGCGCATTGGTTGACACACAGACGCAATAAATAGCGGACGCAACACGTGAACGAGTTGTTCGCGAGTCCCGCGATAAATGTCATGCCGAGCATCACGCTGACAATCTCACATCGCTTTTGCGCCAGCTGATGACGAACGATTCTGAGATTTGCGCATAAACGGTTCGCCTGTGAACAATCGCAGTCGTACGCGTTCCTCTACTTCGGTGACGACGACGACGACGACGTCGTGTTGTCCCTATCAGAATGCGTGTTGACACGTGCATCTTGCTGTTGTATCTGCCGCTTGCAATTTTCGGCAGTGCTGAAAAAAACGAGAGCGCTTTCGTGGCAACGCACGAATGGCAGACGGTGAAAAAGGGTAAGTACCTCATCAAGGTCGTGCCCGCGACCGTGGGACTACTTTACGCCGACCGAGATCCGTCGCTCCGTTTGACACCACGTCAGTCAAATCCGCCGTACGTGCAGCCCTTCCGCGGCGAAAATGCGACAATCCAATCCTTCCGACATTTCTAAAGAAGACAGAGCACAGTCTTGTATAATGCGAGAATTTTGAGATTACTTCGTGTTGTTTTAAATAAGGAATCGCGAGAGAGAGAGAGAGGGGGGGAGAGAGAGAGAGGGGGGGAGAGAGAGAGAGAGAGAGAATTTTGTGGTCGTCCTGTCCGAATGGGTGCCTCCAGTGACGTACGTGCGGATTGGATTACGTGGTTCAAGAAGGCATAATCTTAAGAAATTAAAATCGTTCGGAATTGCGTATTACAATAATTTTTGTCTCTCTTTTTTTAACAAATATTAAAATTTTATTGGAACTTTTGAGATGGATATGATTAGGATTTGTTCTATATAAATATTCAAGAAAGCTCCAAATGAGAATTTTTTTGAATAATCAATAATCATGAAAGTATATATAGCTTGTGTTTTTTTTAATGAAATATGTATGATGCTAAACTATATGAATAAAACTAATTTTGTCACATAAATGCATCTTAATACAAGAATTGTAGATTACAAATTTTTGATTAAATTATAAATATCTTAAAATTTTGTGCTGATAGTAAGAATAAAGATCTAATTTCTAGTAAGATTAATAAAATTTAATTTTTATCAGGAACTCCTATTCCCAAAGGACTTCACGTTAGACATAATTTTGCAACTGGAGTAACAGAGGCTAAATTGATGGATGACACAGAAGAAGATGATGAAAATACAAACCGATCCAATTCCAAGTCATTGACATTACATCCGGATAAGTCGGTTCTAGAAAACGAAGAGCCGGAGTCTGTGAAAATAAAGAAAGTTTCAGAATCTTTGAATTCTTTGAAATTTCCTATCGACGAATTGAAAGCGAGATTGAAAAAGCTTAAGCAAGATGAAGCAGCAGAAGTATCAAATATGAATGTAACTATTTTTTAATTTTAAATATTTAATCTTCCGTCTCTAATTTGGGTTTTTTTTAGCATAAACAAAATTTTACTTTTAAATTTTATCCTATTTTTGTTCAAATTTCAAATTTTGTTAGATAAGGGTTTTAACATTTCAGTTAAAAACTATTTAGCAATGTAACATAGAAGTTAACCCTGAATTTTTGAAAGCTTAAAATAAGAAAACTTGGGCTAGATATAGACACAAATTAATAGACGTAGGAAGTAAAAATGTGATTGCAGACGGAGAATTAGAAATTAGAAATTTGTAATTATTGGAATTTGGAATTGAAACAGATTAACACATTTAACAATTACAATTATGTTTAAGATTTCGTTCCATATTTCCGTCCTTAAACATATTGCATTATCTTGATCTAAATTATACCAATAATTGTTTGTTAATTTACCCAGATGTAAATTATTTTTTATTACAAATTTAGGATTAACAAGTAAGAATTTAAAATCTATTATATTTTTCTTTTTCATTCTAGAATGGAGAAACTCGACCAAAAACTGAGAAACGTTTTAAACGTTTTTATGAAACTTTGAAAGAGGAACTTAATGCTCTTAAAGTTAATGTTACAAGCGATTCAGAATTATTAAAAAGGTTTTTCCAGAAATTTCAATCTTATAAAAGTAGTATCACTACAGGAACGTTAACTAGTATAGAGATTGAAGAAGTATTGGACATTTTAAATAATTTAGAATATCTTCTTCATCAAATAGACAATGCTAAAATATTCTCAGACATGGATGGGTAAATGAATATTTCTCTTGGAGACAACAATTTATCAATACAATTTTAATCAACTTTTTTTTATTGTAGGTTGACTAAGATCATATCACCATGTCTTAATGGAACTAATAATGAAATAAAATCAGAAGCATTACGCCTTTTAGGAGCAGCCGCCCAATCAAATCCAAAAGTGCAAGCTAAGGCATTAGAAAATGATTTTATTCAAAAAGTGTTGCACGTCTTGTCTACAAATAATAAAATTGAAGTAAAATCCAGATGTCTCTTTGCTCTAAGTGCCTTAATACGCCAGTTTCCTGCTGCTCAGAAAGCTTGGATTGATCATGGCGGTTTGCAGTTACTTGGCAAGATTCTATATGACGATCAATTACATATACAAATGAAAGCAATGAAATTAATTAATGATCTAACAATCGAAAGACGAAACCTAGAAGAAATTCATGATGCCGAACAGCGTCAACAGAGAATGAGGGAGTACGCTATTACAGATTTTGAGCTAAAATTACTGAGGCACGATTACTGTAAACTCCTAAGCAACTTAATGGTTAAATGCTTCAAAGAAAAGTTAACTGGCCAATTTAGTATAGAAAATAATGATTTTCTCGAAGTAGTCTCAGATAGCATGATCACGATATCTCCTATTTGTAAAACTGAATTTAAGAATATTGAGCTTTTGCTTTTACCTGTTATAAATAATCTCTTACACTTTTATCAAAATCCTAATATTAAACTCACTGTGGATGAAACAGACGTTTTGAAGAGTTTAATATTACTGATTGAAAGATTAAAAGAAACTATTTTTGAAGCACCTCATGATGAACTATGAATATGAATTAATGTCTAAGGTAATTAAAAATATACGAAAGTATATCAAAGACTACAAATTAAATTCCAGTCTTATGTTAATAGATATGCAATCATGTGCAATAGAGCATAGAGCTTACTTAATATGTATTTGTCAGTGTAAAAAGTTTTGTCAAGAGAAGAAAATTAAAATTATTGTCGTAGTAATTATTAAAATAATCTTGAAAAGGAGATTTACTATTTGCAGATGAAGATGATTAGCTACAATTTCCAGATCTTTGGAAAATCTAAGTATAAAAAAATATTTTGTTATTCTAAACGTGTTTATTCTATTCCTACTGTAAATAGGTTGTCATACTTACAGGATTGATCAGTGAAAAATGCAGTTCTCGTCTCTTGCATTCAAAGTATGAAATACTAGTCATTAGATGTCAGTTAAACTTTAATTCATTATTTAAATGGCATAGTAATTAGTTATACTTGTAGCGATTTTCCCGTTGTAAGAGTTTTTCTTTTCTATTGGCCTATCAAACAATTAAAAGTCTGTATGTTTTTCCCTTCAAGAGACGGGAACTTTTGATATTTGATTTAATCAGCTCAATTAATATTTCATGTATACCTCATAATTATGCGAGGAATAATTGAAAAATATCATTTGAAAAGTAAAACGACTGAGATATATGTACATAAAATATGTATAAGACTTTAGTTATATATCTGGCTATCACATAGCAAGTATAAATAACTTATATTTTTTGTTTTAGAAATAATTACTTAATAAATTATTTTGTACCAATTATATGCCATATTATCTGAAAGTTCCTGTAGCATATATATTTAATATAAAAGAAGTATAAAATATAAACAATCGCAGAATAGTATATTTTATTTACAAATCATAGCGAATTAGAGATTACATAGATATGAACAGTTTCATTTATATATAACTGTATGATACATAGAAAATATTTTTGTAAAAGATGTTAATTTTAACCAGTTCCCCAACTAGGGTTTCTATTTACAGGTGCAAGAAAGAACACTCGTGTATCATGCATATGAATGAAATAATACCTTGTTTTTTACCTGTTAAGTACAAGGGTTGCGTTATCTTTTGTAACTCATAAAGTATGAACATTACGCATGATACACGAGGCTACCGGAGAAAATTACAACAGCTAAATTCCTTCTGAAAGTTCTGCTCGTCTTTACAAATTGAAAATTTAACAAATCCCGTAGGTATATTTATCTAAATTTTATATCTGAATTATATATGTCTAATGAAATATCTAATGAAATACGAAGCTCGATCTGAAAAAGATACGTAATAGAGTATCTTTTATGGATATATCAATACTTAACGCAATGTATAATTATGTCTTTTGATATACTTTAATCTTAATGAAAATATATATTATCACCGTACAATTTTTCTTAATACCGATGAAGATGCAAATATATTGGAGGTTTATGCATACTTTGAATTTTTCTTGGAACTTCCTTTTTGCTGTGAATATTTATAACAAAATATAAGAATATATTGTGAATATTTAATACTAATTATAATAGTAAAGACGTAGACGAAAGGAATATAATTAATTTCATTTTGTCTAGTCTACTCATTTAGATTTTAGTTTAAAATCTTACGTCTCTACGCGCGATTTTATAAGTTTTATTAAATATGGTTAGAAAGGTTGCTATATCTGAACTCGAAATTTATCAAATTTGAGAGCAAGAGAAAAAGGAAAGAGTTTGTATATTATTTTATTATAATTAAATTGCAATGAATAGAAAGGAACTTATTTAACGCTATTGTAATTTTTTTCTTCATAGCCTCATGTATGTACATACATGTAATTGTTATCACATTATTAATGACAAGATAACTATAATGTGAATTTCTGTTATGCAGTATATAATTTATGATAGACACATAAATATACGAGTTTTGTCGTAAGGCAATATATAACCAAGTATTCTTTCTAACAAAACAATATCAATTAAAAATTTTATGATTTAAATTCAAGAATTACAAATTTGGATAATATAGAAACAGCTTATATTTTGAAGCAAATATTCACAGCATGAAGGAAATATTAAAAAATTCAAAATATGTATAAATCTATATGCATTATACATTCATATCTCAATTGTTATTATGAAAAATTATCAATACTTCAAATTAAATTTTTAACTGGTATTCAATTGTTTTATTATTAGAAAAAATTATTAATATACAAACTGGAAAATATTATCTTAGCTATGAAAAATTTCTATATTTATGTGTCTATAATATAAATTATACAAGATATAACAGGATTTTTCATATCATTTTGTCATAATGCGACAAATAATTTAATTCTGACAAAATAATATACAAATTCTTTGTTTTCGCTTTCGCTCTTTTTCTCTTTCTCGTTCTCTGTCCCTCCCTCCCTCCCTCTCTCTCTCTCTCTCTCTCTCTTTCTCTCTCGCTCGCTCACTCACCCCTTTCTTCCCCTCTCTTTCTCTATAATATTCACTGAAAGAATGCAATAATCTCAGACTAATATTTCATCAGTATTGAAAAATATTCTTAGTACAAAATTTTTTAGCCCTTGTTACTTAACTCGAAATGGAAATTGGATTATCAAGGAGGAACAATAGACTCTTTTATATATGATTTAAACAAAAATTATTTTTACGTACTCAACATTCAAAATAATCATGATGATCAAAATAAGATATAGCACTCTTGTACATGGCGTCACAAATGCCTTAACACGCGAAATTGCGAAAGTATCTGAGAAGGCATAAAAAGGCATGTTAAAGCGTTAAGGCATTTGTGACGCTGCACTGTGTGTACAGATGGGGACAGGAATATCTTGACATGCCTTTTCAAGCCTTCTTCTCACTTCTTCTTATACGTTCTTTTATATATACGCGTGCAACTTCATGTGTTAAGGCATTCCCTGTATGTGCACAAGTCTTCTTTCATTAAATAATATAGAGAGAAAAAGTATTATATAACTTTATGGCAACTTCAAAATATTACTGATACATATCGCTGTGTTGATAGAAAAGTGATACACAAAAATACAATTTTTTTTAGATGAGAGAAAAATGACTCTGAAAATCAATATATCTTTGTGGAAAAAACGATATATTTGTAGTTCACTTGTTCATATGGAAAAGTTATATAACTGTGTTAAGGAAAATATATATACTATAGGATTGTATTAAGGTTTCAAATTTTGAAAACTCATAATATAATTTTAAAAATCATATTATAATTGAAAGTATAATATGGAAGGAAAGAAACTGCATATTCAAACTATTCTAATTAAAATGTTGTTTCAATTCAGAACTGTAAAAATATTCTGTGTGAAAAGTTGGTAATTTTGTCTTATTTTTCTATCAATTCAGCACATAACTGAAATTTACATCAACATAATGGAATTTCTCTGCATAATTAATAGCGAATTCGATTGTATACACTAGTGCATATAAAGTCATCGTGCACAAATTAACATAAAGATGTATATTTAATATAAATATAACAAAAGAAACGAGTTAAATCGCGAAAGCTTCATTAGATTTTATTGTGCTGTTTAAAATATGTATTTTACACACACACACACACACACACACGCGCGCGCGCGCGCGTGTATACACATGTATCATTTAAAATATTTATATTTCATTTTTATACTCAAATTAGATTATTGTATAATATAACGGCTTTAACATGCACTGCGGTAATTGAATTCGCTATAATTCTTTAACGAAATATATTTGACCTAAATAAAGATTAGTGCAGCCATGATAACAACTCCCAAAAGTAAAGCGCCAAATTGTTTCAAAGACTCTTTTGTATTCGTTTCTTTTAACAAATCGGGCAGGATGGTTACTAAACCAATATGTATGAATCCTCCTGCAGTCAATGGTAATATCCAATTGGTTCTTTCCTCTGAAAAAGAAAAAAGATATAAATTAATAAATTCTACTCAATAAAATAAATTCTACGTAATAGATAATAGGTACTATTAGTAAGATTATCTATAGTATAGAAATATTATTTCCAAAATTATTTGATATAATGAAATACAGGTAAATGAAATTAATAAAATGTAATGTCAATATCAAAATTTTTATCGTTAAGCTAATAAAAGATGCTATATTATTATTAGATTAATTTATCTTGCATTATTTTTATCAAGTTTTTTATATATTATCTTACACTTAACAAATTTTTAAAGATATTATTTACCTAAACTACCAGAAAAGGAGACGGCTGCCAAAGCACCAACGACTCCACCGCCAGCCGTAATTAACTGTGCCCGCACAGCACCCCATTTGCTAAATCCACTTCGTAATAGAATAGCAAAATCGCCAACCTCATGAGGTATTTCATGCACCAAAATAGTGAACGTACTGAGAACACCTACACGGAAGGAAATTAGGAACGATCCACCCACGGATAAACCGTGAGTAAAATTGTCGAGGAAGTTCATTAAAAGATTTAGGTATCCGGGAAAGGCTTTGGGATCGAAAAATTTGCGAAATAAGTCGAAGGTGAATTTCTTTGCCCATGCGGTTAAACGATTAACAATATTGCTTGGTGAGCGTACGCATGGAGAGTCAACACGTGAAATCACTGATGTGAAGCCATTAGTCTTCGCGAGTTTCTTCAAGCAGTTCTTTGCCTCGTCAACCAGCGGACCATCATTAGGACATTCGCTTGCTAATGCAGATTTCATAATGTCAGCCTCTTTAAAACCATTCTTTCGTAGATCTTTGATACCATTCAACATTTGAGCAAACTCCATCTTACTGGATTGTTTCTCCAAGAATTGTACCTATCACAGAATACATTTGGTTATCAGATAATTATATAATATGTATATAGAGTGTCGCAGATTTTTTGGCAAAACTTTACCAGCTATACTTCAAATAAAAACAAGAAAAAAATGTTATATAAATATAGGCTCATAAATGCTTTATTGAAAAGTTATAACAAAAATACAAAAATAACAACGAATTATTTCTTTGTTCGATATTATATAGAAATAGATTGCTTATTATAACTCCAGTTCAAAATATTGTCCGTCGTTATAAATACAAAACTGATATCTAATGAGAAAAATAGAATCTATTGCATTAATTTCATCTTAATTTTTTTTAAATTATAGCAAATACATCACAAATTCTTTGCATTGATTCTTGATGTGTATTAATTCGTGTTTGATAAACTTTTTCTTTCACAGTTCTCCATAAATAAAAATTCAAATCGTGATATCTAGTGATTTTGGGGGGCCAAAGAATTGATCCTCCTCAACCTTATCTATCGTTGAGGGTAATAATCATTTAATTTACCATTGTCGTACTGGTGCTGCATAATGTGCTGGACAACCATTTAATTAAATCCATAAATTTTGATGAAATAATAATGGAATATCTCCTACCAATTCTGACTGCAATTCATTTTGTAGGAAATCCAAAAAAGACTGCAGTTAATCTTTCAAGTAAAAAATAAGGTCCAAGAGTATCTGATTATTGCATATTCCCGCTCATACATTACATTTGAATTGCTGTTGAAACCCTCTCTCTCAGACACTATGAGGATTTTCATATCTCCATTGATTATTATGCATATTTAGAACACCG